GAAAAATATAAGACTTTTTATATAAGGCATTTGCTGGTTTATATGCCAGATTTACTAAGACCTTAAGTATGATTAGCTTTCACAATTAGCAGTTATCTTAAGTCTATAAGTCTGCAGGAGAGCATGTAAAAAAACCCTTATGAAATTGTCACAAATTAACCTAATTATTACTATTAATAGTAAAGTACATGGATTGACTATATGATATCTCCATTCAAAAGGTAAAATAATGTAAAGGGTCTCTACAAAACTGGCCAGACCATGGGAATTCATGTTCAATGAATGACAATGGGACTTCCAATTTATTTTTACCTTAATATGGTTAGGACATGAATAACATTAGCCTTTAAATGTTTCATTCCCCTACCTGCCTTAACAGTGTATATTCCTTCTATATGTTTGTAACACTGGTAGTAAGATTTTGATATGAAAATAAAATGTTTCTGAAAAACTGTTTCTTAGTTTCGGTGTGTGAATTTACTGGAAAAAAATATTTGAACACTTGCCGTGTTCTAGGAACTGGTCTATATTGGGAAAATACAGCAGTGAGCCAAAAGGATCAGGCCTACACCTGCCCTCTTGGAATTTGCATTCCTAGGGGAAAAGATGGATAATAAATAAATAAATAAATAAATAAATAAATAAAGTAGTGATAAAATAAGGAACGATAAAGCATGGTAAGGCGGTAGATAGTGATAGTGGGGGAAGAGGATGTTTAGACAGCATGGTCAGGGAAGGCCTCAGTGATGAGTGAGGGTTTTTTTTTTTTTCCGAGATGGAGTCTTGCTCTGTCACTCAGGCTGGAGTGCAGTGGTGTGATCTCGGCTCACTACAACTTCTGCCTTCCAGGTTCAAGCGATTCTCCTGCCTCAGCCTCCTAAGTAGCTGGGATATCAGGTGCGGGCTACCATGCCTGGCTAATTTTTGTATTTTTAGTAGAGATGGGGTTTTATCATGTTGGTGAGGCTGGTATTGAACTCCCGCCCTTGTGATTCTCCTGCCTTGGCCTCCCAAAGTGCTGGGATTATAGGCATGAGCCACTGCACCCAGCCAATGAGTCAGGTTTTGATCAGAGACCTGAATGAGGAGAGGAAACAAACCAAGTGAGGATCATGGAGAAGAGTGTTCGAGGAAGAGCTAGTAAAGGGGCCCTGAAGAATTAATTAGTTTAGGTTGTTTGATTAGCAACAAGAAGATATATACTGAAGCAGAGGGAATGAAGAGAAGACTGACAGGAGTGATGGTCAGTGGAAGAGGCAGTGCTATGATTATATGTGGCCAAGATCATATTATATATGATTATTCTTTTTTTTGGGAAATGATTTTTGTGGTGATGATGATGAATAGCATTTCGTGGATACTTAGTCCCTACCAGACTCTTTTAAAATACTGTTTTATATGCATTATCTCATTTAACACAACCCTTTTGTGAAGATTCCAGTGTAATTTTAAAGTTCTAAGTGAGGACATAGAGGCCAACAGAGGTTTAGTAATTGGTCCAAAGACACACACTCGTAGAGACTGCAAGAATGCTGGTAGAGACAGTGAGAAGTGATTGAATTGGAGCTATATGTTGAAGGTAGAGCGAACAGGAATTGTTGATGGATCAGATATAGGAGATGAATCAAAGAATGGATTGAAGAATAACTTTGAGGTTTTTGATCTGAGCAACCAGGTATGGCTTTGCTGTTTGCAGAGGTGAAAAGTACGTTTGGCTGTTGGAGAGAGGGTGCTGTAGACTGAGTTCCTTTTCGGATGTGTTAGATCCAAATAATGATTAGACGTCCAAGAAGATAGGTGTGTCTGTAATATGGGAGGGAGGTATTATTTTGAGAGTTGACAGTTTAGAGGGAGCTTCTACTGAGATCAGTTTCCCTTATTATTGTGTGTCATGCTCCAAGGCCTCTGTCATTAAAGAAATGCCCATTTGTTCTGGAACGCAGGTGCAGTGGGCAGCGCTGTTCCTGCTTGCTGGAGTATCATACATGCTGTCACACTATCTCTTTTGAAATGCATTCCATACTCAAGATTGAAGATATTCATAAGAAAGAAGTGATTTCTCTTTTAAAAAAATATGTAAATGACATGGATCTATATATGTGATAAAATTTTATAAAACTATACACCGAAGAAACAAGTGCATACGAAAAAAAGAAAAACTGGCAAAAACAAACAAACAAACAAAAAAAACAACCTCTCTAGTTTGGTTAATTGTACTGTGCCATTCTTAGTTTCCTGGTTTTGCTATATTACTATAATTGTGTAGGATGTCATCCTTGTGAGAAGCTGCATGTGGGTAATGCAAGCTTTCTGCACTATTTCTGCAACTTCTTTTGAGTCTAAAATTATTTCAAAATAAAATTATAAAAATGTAAATGTATAATTGCATCTCTTACTTTAAATTATTATCTTGTTTAGTCTTATGCAATGCAGGGACACTACATTCACATGAAAATGAGAGGCAGTGAGGGGTAAAGAGCAGTTGGTGAATGGGTACAAAAATACAAGCGAGATCCAGTGTTCAGCAGCACAATAGGGCAACTGTGGGAATAATAACTGATTGTAAATTACATAAGAACTAGAAGAGTGGAATTGGAATGTTCCTGACACAAAGAAATGATAACCAATTACCATGATTTGATCATTATACATTATATGCTTATATCAAGCTATCATTATACCTCATAAATATGTATAATTATTATGTGTTCATAAAATAATGAAAATGAAAAATGAACCAAAAGTGGATATTTTTATAATATGCCAAACTTAATGGGATGTTGATAATTCTTCATTTCTTAGTGCTGCAAACTTTTAATACATTAGCAGGTTCTTTATATTTTATCTTAAACTTTTTATATGAGCAGAATATATTTTGTGTATACATTTAATGTACCCTAAAAGATGAAATGCATAGTAATTTGTTAAACTAGAAGGCAGTAATAAGACATTTGGCAAATGTAGCATATCTCAAGCATCTTAGAGAGCCAAACAAGTTAAACATGTTAAAATAATAGGTAGGTCTGTGACATTTATTGACAATTTATGATAGCTGAGCACTACTAAAAATCATAATTGCAGCATTATTTCATTAACCCCTAAAATACTCATTATTTTAAAAATGTAAATTTTTCTTATTTCTCTTTTCTGAAAATGTAAAATTCCGTATTTGTTAGATGATTCTGCTGTCATTAATTTGTTAACTTTATTTCTGTTTGTTTTTCTTAAGAGCAACAATGGTGGAATAGAGATGTTAAGTCTGTGATTACCTTTAGTTTAGTTTTTTTTTTTTTTTTTTTTTTTTTTTTAAAAGAAAAAAAGGGGGGAAAAAGATTTTTAATTTGTTTTTTTCTTTTTTTTTTTTTTTTTTTTTTTTTTTTTTTTTTTAGGAAAGAAAAGTCTATATCTTTTAATAAAATTAATAATTCTTTATAGAATCAAGATCTCAGGATACTATATCCACAATCCTAGTAAACTCTTCATTTCAACATGGAAAATTGATACATTAAAGATAAACACATTTATTTCAAAGTATTAAAATAAATATATGCACACAAGACATTGAAAGACTGACAAAAGGATAATTTTTTGTTTTTCAATACGAATATTCAAAGGTATAAAGACTCAGTTGGGAAATGTCGACACTCTCTTCCTCCTACTCAGGTCTAACAAAATATGATCGGTCTTAAAAAATTGTCCTGCACTGGCGTCAAATAATAGCAGAAAAACTGATGAAATTTTTATAAAATAATAGGTTTTGGTTGTGAAATTATAATTTGTTACACTCAGAGAAGAACAGCTCTTCTTGAAAAAAAATAATTTTCTAAAAGCAGTATATTAAAGATCTTAAGTTGCTTCACTAGCTTGATTTTATACCACTTCCATCAAATGGGATTTGGCTGATGAAACTGCAAAGTGAAACAGTCTATATTTTGTTTAGAGTCATTTTTCAAATGCTTGGAGGATGTAGGATGGAAATTATCATTGCCTGTGAGTCTACTTATTTGTGAAATGCTTATGGAATGCCTGTGTACTGAACATTAAGGTGAATAAAATACTGCCCCCTTTTCAAAGAAGCTTCCAGTTAACAAGGGAGTGAAACCAGAGGGGCAGGGCAGGTTGCAGGTAGTGTGCTACTGAAGATCGGAAGTTTGTTGAGTTTAGGCTGAACTCTACTCTAAATAAGCTTTTGTAGGATCCTGTCAGCATTAATAGACTGACTACATCTGGAGAAAGAAGAGTTGGTGAATTATGGATTGAGGAGGGAGCAGTCGGGGCTTTGAAATACCCTATTACCCTATACCACCCATAGTCCCCCATAGATGAATGACAGTCATCAGTGGGCTAACTTTACATTTAATTAAAATGATGGAATAAAAAAATCACTGGAATAATTATATGAATTTAATAACTGGAATTTCTCAGCATTGCCAAAGTTTTATTTTAGCTAAAAACTCCAAATCTCTTTATCTTTACAACCTTCTAAACATGAAGCACATTAATTTCTCTCCACTCCCTAAATTTCTGATGTTCTGTCAAAAATATTTATAACCAGGGAGGTATTCCAAAAGCTGGAAGGAGCAGGTAATGAGAAAGAGCATATGTTTCTAAACTGGATCATCAATCTCTGAAAAATTTAAATTGATTAGGCTTCATTCAGGAGGACAAAGTGGAGGATAACTTTAATCTACTAACAAATAGGATTTCTTAGGCAAAATTATAACTTTGGATCATCTGATTCTTCAGAAAACACTGTGATGACTCTTATGTTTTGTCATATTGACTAGAGTCGTGCATGCTCATAAAGTCATGTTTCTCTTACTGAAGGTAATGTTTTCTGAGGGAATACCAAGTGTCAGGCAATCTTCTGAGAGTGGAACATGCATTCACCCCTACAAGTTTATAAGGATGTCTCTGTCAAATTATTCATTGATTAGCAAATATTCATATTTTTTTCACGTGAGATGTTTGTTTTATTTTTATCATTTCTTCTCTTTCAGCTCTTCTTTATGCAACTATTTTTGGAAATGTTACGACAATTTTCCAGCAAATGTATGCCAACACCAACCGATACCATGAGATGCTGAATAATGTACGGGACTTCCTAAAACTCTATCAGGTCCCAAAAGGCCTTAGTGAGCGAGTCATGGATTATATTGTCTCAACATGGTCCATGTCAAAAGGCATTGACACAGAAAAGGTATGGGTTATTATTATTATTATTTAGTTTCTATTTTAGTAGGATCTTCAGATGCATTAAGCTTTTCCACTCACGTATTGCTTGTATAATTGCTTCGTAACTGTTATTCTGTATTTGTAAGTGACATATCAGTCAATCAATCATATTTATTGAGTGCTTAGAGGGTGCAAAGCACCGAACCATTAATCATCAATTAGTACCAGTCATCACATTCAATTTAGAAAATTCAGTTCCTGAAAATAACTCATTATTCCATTTCCCTAAAACACTCTTATTATCTCTCACAGTAATTTGTTGCATTCCTCTAAAACTCAGAGTGCTGCCATTTTTCCTGCTAGAATTTATTCTTGATTTCCCCTTTGCCTTTTTTGCTCATTTAAAAATTAGAAAGAGACTTCCTGGCTATAAATTAAAAATGTATGTGCCTTCTATGCTGTCCTTCACTTAAATTTCTCCCATCTCATATGTTTTATAAAGAACTTGTAATTCTTTATTTTCCAGTTTGCCTTACACACATCTATAAAATAGATGTCTCCCTCTCCAATCATCTGATATCTCTAATCTCTTCCTTGCCTTTTCATGGAGCTGATTTTAATTTTTTTCATCTATCTCATATTTGGGGCAAAGAAGCACTCAAGATCCTCCTTAAAATAAATAAAAGCAAATTTAAAAAAATCCTCACTTCCTACACCCAGCTGATTCACATCAAATACAGAAGATGAAAAATAAAGCTTGCACACAGAGTTTTAGAGGAAACCAGTCTTGAGCTATTTCACTTTATAGGCATCAGTGGAGACTATTCGTTTTAAGTACTGATTTTTGACATGTGATAATTAGATGGCATAATACCTTCCTGGCTGTTTCCCACAATTTTTTTTGTTCTTTTAACCACATGAGGTTGACTTACGGTTTTTCTTTAAGACTCACTCAAAAAGCATCTTTCACTGTCAGAGGGAAAAAGCAAATGAGAAAAGTAGATGTTTAGTTAGGAGAATTTCATGAAGCAACATGTAATTTTTTTTTAAGCCAGGGCAGGTGTTGTTAGTATAGAGGGTTGAGTGGAGGTGTAGGGAATGGATGAGGAACATAGGAGTTGAGGGAGAGAAGCCTTCAGAGGGAGTGCAGGTGAGATATTAGGGGGCAGCTATGTGGAGGAGTTGTGAAAGGGGGTGAGATTTACTCCTCTTTTGATATTTTACAAGATATAGTATAAGTTTTCCAGTTAAATGGCCCCTTAAAAGTGGTATGCATGAACACAGAAGGAAGAAAGCAAACTGCATTTTTATGGAATTCGATTAATGGATATCTGAGCCAATATATGGCTAGTAGAGAGAGTATCTAAAGAAGAAACAGAATCTTCCTTGGGTGAAGGTGAGGGTAACAGAATTTAAGTCATCAAAAGCAGGGTGTCCATTGAAGTCCACATTAAATGAAACAGATCAAGAGACAACCACCCGCCTCGTCAATCACTATCTCAGCAAGAAATTTTCCTTTCCAGAAAATGCAATAGAGCCATATAGTAACTAATAAAAAATCAGTAAATGATAGAATAATGTCCTTTTACATATTCGAAAAGTGTCTGAGCCAGAGCCTCTGGCACAAATCTAGTACATGGCAGAGTTTTGAGTCCTTGCTCTCTATATTCCTGAATACTGAATTATTCATGAATGGAGCTGACCAGATTGTCTTCAAGCCTCCCCTTGAGGACATGCTTAACTCTCTGATTCATGATGGAGTTAGGGTCTATCGCACTGGCATGCAATGTCTCTCAAAGTGTACATGCCATGTGGCAGGGAAAAATTTCTAGGTACCTACCATGTACTGCCTTAAATATCTTTTTTTGTTTACTTGCTCATTTGCAGTTAAAGAAAGGTACTTCTGATTAGCAAAGTATCCAAGGAAAATGGAGTAGTAGAACAAATACGGGGAGACTAATACTAAAAGTGAAATAAAAATTTAATTTCAATGAAAAGATTTTTTAAGGGGATATTTTAAGATATCAAAATTGGTTAGCATTTGGATAAGAAAAAATCATGGATGTGGCTTTTAACGGAGTGAGGAATCCTTAAAGTTGTTTTTGACGAATAGGAGAAGCATATTTAAATAATTGTGACAAATATAAAAGTTTCCTTGTTCATGTATGAAACATACTCTATGCCTGTATTGATTTATCCCAGTCTATTAAGAAAATCCCCACCCAGATACATAAGTTCTAGGTTAACGGCACTGAAGGAAAGAGAAGGAAGGAAAGACATCTGCCAAATTCTGGGCTTAGAAAGGGGGTGTAGGGATTTCTAGTACTGCATCACCGAAGAGACTGAATTTAAAAATGATCCTTAGATTACACACCATATGCTATACTAAATGTCAGGAAAACAAAAACTGACATTCAGCTCTCTGGTTTTGTAAAGAACCTGACAACTAGAGCAGAAGACTCCTATGCCTGTTAGGCATTCAGCTATTTAACAAATAAATTATACATCTATAAATATAAATATATATATAGATTATGTATGTATAACATACATTATATATATAAAATAGTATATATAAAAATAATTTTAAAATACAATAATAAAGATACAATACAATAATACAATACAATAATAAAGACTTGAAGCATAGACAAAAGAATTAGTAACCAAAGAAAAGAGAGGGAATAGATATCTCAGAACTAGATACCACTAGGGAGGAGAACTGAACATAAGTTACAGAATGAATTGTAAAGATGGAATGGACATATTACTTAATATCATTATAAAATGAACTAAGAATCTAAGAAAATATTTATAAGGGTCTTCACTCATGACCCAACATAAATATCAGAAGAACTGAAAATTAAATGCAAAAAACAAGAAACTATAAACTATTAGAAGAAAATATGTGAATATATTTATCTTTGTACATATGAAAGTAATGGAATATATAACAAGGTAACTGACAAATAGATTGTACTAAAAAGTGTAAAATCTTTCACACTAGAAAACTATGAAAATGAAAATGACATAAAGCATTTGCAAATTTTGCAAGTGAAATGTTAATTACCTTAATATGTAAAGTGATTTATAAATTAATAAGAATTAGAATACTTGGAGAGAAAAATGATCTGAGGACATACGTAATTTATGGAAGACAGAATGCAAATTACTAATAAACATAAAAAAGGCTTATTTTCACTTGGAACAAAGAGTTAAAACTTAAAAAACAACAAGCAAAAAGACATAGAAACATTTTTAATATGACAAATGGACAAAGATGATGCCCAGTCTTAGCAAAGGCTGGTGACTGGCATTATTGTATAATTCTGGGAGGTGTGTAAATTGGTAGCACATTTCTTGAAAGGAATTTGAATAAGATAATATTTAAAATTTGGTGGTATTTTAGAGCTCAGTCCTTGTGCCTCGTCCCTTTTCTGTCTGTATTCCATCCTTTGATGATATCCCGCAGTCTCATAACTTCAAACCAGCACCACCCAATGTTCATACTTACCTTGGACTCGATTCCCTGAACTATAGACTCTCCCCTCCAACTGCCTACTCATGTCCAGTGAAGTTGTCCAAAATCAAACTTCCAATCATCTCCTAAAAACCTGTTTTACAGACATTCTTTCCCAGTGAAATTAATGGAAACACTACCTTTCAGTTGCTTAAGACAAAATCTCCCACATTTAAACCTCTGCTGAATCCTTTTGGCTCTACCTCCGATTCTCACCACCTCCATTGCTATCACCTGGTCCACGTCATCATCATGTCTTCCATGGATTTTTCTGGTACCAACTAACTGGCCTGTGCTTCCACCTTTGTCCCTTGCATAGTCTGTTCTCAAAAGAGCAGCGAGTGAGCACATATGGCTTTTGTAACAAAACTTTCTATGTATGTGTGTGTGTATCTACTTATCTGTATTTCTATCAATCATCAATTATCTATTTTTCTATGCCATAGACTTTTGATTATGAGTTAAATTGACTAAACCTGTTAAAATATAAGTGTAGGAAAAATAAAATGAAAGGTTGATGACAATAATAATATAAATTCCATAATTGCAGTCACCATCTTAGAATTATGTATGTACTTTTGGATGTAGCTTTAATAAACAGTATCTGAATTTTAACAATTATCCAGTATTTAATGTTAGAGACCTCTAGTAGACTTCCTGTTCCTCTGTAAGGCAAATACATTTTATGACTATATGTTTCTTATTTTATATTTTATTGATAAATTTTTTTCAAATATTTTAAATAGAGGTTATCAAATTTAACTATGAATATATACTTTAAAAGGAAATATAATATATGAAGCCAAATGTCTTTGTTTTAATTCTTCTTTTCTCTGGTTAGTTTTAAAATAGCTGTATATTTTTTCAATTGCTTGTACAAAGAAATTTAATGATTCGTTGAAGCTAATTAGAGAAAAAACCTTTGCCCCAATGACTAAGATTTCCTTCTATCATTTCCACATATTTAGTTTTATAGATTTTTGAATTCAGCTTTAACCCACAAGCAAATTAATCACTGTGATTTAGTTCTGTCTTAACATGCCTTATGTGAATAATGCTTTCTCGAATATAATTGTGGCATTAAAATCTGTACTGACAGGGAGATTGCAGCATTTCTGTCATGAAAGTTTGCTTTAGGCAATATTTTTAAATATAGAACAGTGCCTAGTTCAATTTTATTTAGTTGAAAATACGTTATTGACTGCTCATTAGTACAGTTGTTTTAGATTCTTTTTAAATTTAATAGCCAAATCCATCCTCTGGGCTTTGCTACTTGCTAATATTCTGTGTACATGAAGGAAAAAGAAATGGGTGGAATAAGTGAGGATTTAAAAGGGGAAGAGGAGATTAAGGGGAAAAATAGAAAGGATGATGGTTAAAGCTCAAAAAATTCGACCCTGCAGTTTCAAATGACTTTACTGGGAAATAATTCAAATGAAGTAAATGGCTGGGGACTTTATTTTCAGCTTTTTGGACCATGTGAAAAAAAATAAGACTTGTAAAAC